ATAATTCTTTTTAGGCCCAATTCCAATTTATATTTGCAAATAACATGTTTTTATCAACTTATTGTACATTGGCTCGAAATGTCATGCGAGAAATTACCTACTCTGCATTCTGTTGATTGCATTAGTTAATGCATACCTTGCATTATAAATATAATGTACAGAATCGTGATGGTAGGTCAATAAAAGCAGTTTAAATTATATAGGCAAAAAATATCCAAAACGTTGGCATTGCAAAAAATCAGACTTTTATTGACATACTCTCTACTTTTATGTCTTTACCTCTACTATTTACGGAGAAATTTCACAGCCATTACAAGCAAAAAATGAACTAGTTGTTCCATTCTCTTATTCGTGTCGATACCCAAGAGCAACAAGCCTATCGTGTCGCATACACATGAGAGTTGATCGTCCCTTCCCCCCAAGTGCATGACGATCATGAGAAGCAACTCGCTTGTTTGCGTTCCTAAACGCCCGCGCGGGAAACGATTTTCTCCCCGGCGTCCGAGTACATCGTCGTCACCTCACGTTGCATTGTTTACCAGGCGCGAAGCTTCCGGGCAGCAGCAGCGCTCCAAGGCGGGGAAAGCTCCAAGGCGGGTACTTTCGCCACGTGCGATACCCTCGGCCCAGGTGCCGGGCAGCGGTGGGAACCGCAGACGACGCGCGGATCGACAAGCAGAAGAAAGCTATCGGGAGGTGATGAAAGCCTCCGGGCGGAGGAGGTTTGGAAAGTAATGAGAGCGGAGGATGAGGATGAGTTTCTTCAGATGCGAGTGGAATGTTTCGACACGCGCACGGGAAGTGTTGGAGATGCTTCTCGTGAGAGGGGTCTAACCAGCCCCCATCTTTGCACAGGAATTATTCTCCCTTAGACTGGCCATTGGAGAGTAGTTAGAGATAGGAACCGAGGGAATGTGTTCAAATCTCGCGTAATTCAGGGAGGTTTCGTCATTTACCTCATTTGCTGCTTCTATTTATTGGTTACATATTTTCCTAATGTCCGGTAGTTAGACGTGAGATGGTCCTACGTGTTTCTTCGATTCAATAAAAATAACTGTCCGAGATGAACCTGTAGGCTTCCACGGTACGCAACGGAAGGAGCAAAGTTCCGGTTTCTGCCAATAACATACTTCTATTTAAATTTCAGTTTCGTATAAAGCGCTTAGTTTCCGGTTTGGGTTTGGTAACGGTTTTACCATATTTTCATAAAAAACTTTCTTTCTTCGATTGACGGGGGAAAAGTCACGACCACTGTCATGTCAACAAGATTCTGTAAGAGACAGACTCGAAAAAACACAACTATTTCTTGCTGATTTATGAATGTTGAAATTCATTGTTATACAACAAAATTCAGTTAACGTTTGTTATAGTAAAGGTACTAAATCTAAGTAAATTGTACACTATTAGTCACTACTGAAAATGTGCACGCAACGCAAAAGGAAACACACAAGGGATATTATGAAGAACTTTTAAATGGCGAAACCGAGACCGTTTCATTCGTTTACATTATTCCTCGCTGGCAAAGCAATATATTGATTCTAATTACACGTTAGAAATAGATACTTTTGTCCAGAGATTGGAGAGTTAAATGCAAAACCATTAAGTTTCCTACAAAATCATTGTTATCTTATAATTTTCGAGAAAAGTTAAATATCAGTTCTTTGTACCTTATTGTCCATATACCGTTTCGAATATAGCACTAGAAGTATCGTGTGCTCAACTTAGCCAAAAAATTTTTTTCAGTCCCATTTACGTAGATTTCGAGGACAGATTACCATACTACTCCGTTGTTCACGACTCGTATTATGAACACTTACCAAATGTACAGACACATTATATCATCAGAATAACTACCATGTAAGAACTCTAAGGAATTGCAAAACATCCATACAGAACTGGCACCCAGCAAATAACGATGCGCCGAACGCAAAACCAGTGAAAAGATTCGAAAAACGGTCACGAGCGCGGGACCTCATTAGCATACATTAGCGCGCAAGACGCGTGCGGTGCCAGCGATTCGGTGCCTGCTGGAAGGCGCGCCTCCGCCAGACGTCGCTCCGATGAATTATTCAGAATCGACCCCGCGCCCACTTCGATACCGCGGTGTGCAGATTGGCCAGGCGACGCGATATGCCCCAGGAGGTGCAAATGCTCGGCGCGCGGGCGACGAGCTGCCGAGGACGTGTGCTGGGTTCAGCACTGCCCGGCCAGGCAGCAGGCAGGACAGGCGATTTTGTGAAGTGAAATGAGGAGCAAGTAATCAAGACGCATAGTGTCCACAGGTGGAAGAAAAATCTGAGTGTGATATAAAAACATGTAGTTTTTAATGCGCCCTATACGCTCCAGCTTTCAAATTTCATTAAAACCTATTTTAATACATTAAATTAAATGCGTTTTGGAGAAATCCGAAACCTGGAGCGTGTAGAATGTATTAAAAACTATACGATTTCATATCAAATTCAATGGAAGGTAATTGAACAAACAACGCTTACTGCTTGAGAATGAACTCCATATGGGTTCGAGTTTTTAAGCCAGTAGTTAGATACCTAGATTTATTGTTTCTGCTGATAGATATACAACCTGGTGGCAGAACACTACAATTTACATATTACAAAGAAGAATAGTAGTACACTGTAATTTTAAAGCATTTTAAGGCAATAATAATAATATAACAATAATAACAATTGTTAGATTTTGTTATCAATCTAACAGTTTGTTAGATTGATAATATAACACGGAAAATTCCTCATTTAAAAAAACAGTTCAGAGTTCCCGAATAATGAGATGTTTACGAGCTAACGATGACGTACGATGCGGATCATAGCTCTCAGCTCAAAGTAACACTGATACTGACTCAATAAGGTAGTGACAGGTGACATTCTCTGATTCATTACGTTTTCGTTACTTCTGAATTCGGACGCCCGAGCCCACAGTGTTCCGAGATAAACGTACTTCTGTATAAACCATATACAAAATATAAACTATTTCTAGAAATTGATGTTATGACTTCCATGTTTGTGTAGAAGACAGAAGCAGAGTACACTAACTGCAATAACTATTACTGACAAATCAATTACTGTGTAAATTGTACCACATTGTCAGCATACATCATTCCCGAATAGTAAATTGACACTACAATTAGAGAACTATGAACCCGTAACTATTTACTTATAAAAGGTGAATTATAAAACTGTGTGATTCCCAGTGGGTACCTATAATATAGCACGAGATAGACTTCCTCCTCTAGGTAACGAAGTTCGCACCTCGGCAACTCCAAGTGGACTTTTTGGTCGACAAAAAAATTCGCGGCAAATTTTCTCAAGGTTCTTCCGTTTGCTCCTACGCCTCTTGTTCCATATTTTTTTGTCATGTTTCCTACTGTATCAACATCATTATCACCTAATCATCAAACCATTAATCCATTTCAGTTATGACCAAAGATTTGAGACAAGGGCTATAATAAAAAATATCTTTGTTTGTTCTTTCTTTGTAAGTTTTTCATGTACGAAAAGTAGGCTTTTAGTAATAAGAAGTGAGACTCCCTTATCAGAAGTAAGAACCATTCATTCTTTTATGATTCTAACCTGATTTATATTGGGAGTTTGAAGTGACTGCTACATTTTCGCATACGGAGACATAGAAGTTTTAAAACTTGACCTCCATGGCCCACCCTGGGATCCAGAAATGTAGCAATACACTTGAACTTTCCGCGCGGCAAAACGCTTCTGAACTCTGCTACTCGCTTTTCCAAGAAGCTCCATATTCCCATCGCACCAGATCTGGAGCGCCGGTTCACACACCTGTCATCGCGCTTCTTTATGAGCATGCTGTCCCCGTCGCAAATGGCGCCACCGCCACCGCCTCCCCCACACCGGCTCCGCCACCTCTATTATCGCTCTGTGCCCTCTTTTGCCACTGCCGCAGGCATCTTTACAGTCACCGTCTCTACCACCTCCCTTCTGACTTCATTTTGGCTTCGTCATCCCCACCGTCACCTCCGCTACCTCTGCCCCGCATCTGCCGCCACAGCCTGAACCATCACCGGCTCCTCCCTGCTCTTTCACCCACCTCCGCCCCCTCTGCCACCACCTCAGCCGCCTTCACCGTCACCATCAACGTCTCCAGCTACGTCCTCCCATCGCCACCCCCGCTAGCAGCACCACCGCCGCCTCCATTATCGTCTTGCTGCCCATCTCCTTCACTGCCTTCGTCGCAGCCGCCTTCATCGTCACCATCTCTCTCTCCTCCTCCCTGCCTTCACTGCTGCCTTTGTCGCCACCTCCTCTACCATCTCTGCCTCCGCAGCCTCCTCTGCCACCGCTTCCATGCCGTCCTCCTTCCCCCGTCGCCACCTCCGCCGCCACGTCCATCGTCTCCGCTTCCACCTCCGGCTCCGTTTGCACCCTCAATCGCCTCTACCTGCATCAACAACGTCTGCGGCCTCCTCCTCCCATCCCCGCCTCCGCTTCCTCCACCGCCGCCGCCACGTGGCCCAGTGGCCCATTCTCGAGATTATGGCCCCTTGACACGGCTGCGCTGCTCGGCGCTTGCCGCTCGGCGCGCGCCGGTGCGGCAACGCGCGCGGCTCGCAACGCGGATGTGCAATCGCGCCCCGTGGGCGCGCTGTTCGCCAGGAATCTCGAAACGCCGCGGCCGGAAGGCTGTCGGATGTGTTGTTCGTGATGCCTCGACGCTACAACAAGTTTTGAATCTTGGTTGTGCTAATACAACTAAATACTGTGTGTAACACGGGGAAACGCAATATTTCTAAATGATAAAGGAATAAATGTATGGATTTATAGAATGCTTCGCTCCACCGCGTGAAGTGTATATGCAGAAACTAAAGTAACGATATTGAAGGCTAACTTCCCTAAAAAGCTAAACTGAATTAATGATGCTTGAGATGTACAATAGATCTTGTCTTAACTTAGATATTTATACAACTGCATTGGGTGACGAGATTGTATTTGCTGCGAGGAAGAAGAGGGGAAGGGACTCACATCCGATGTAGACGCAGGCGGCCACCACGAGCAGGAAGAGCAGGAAGCCCGCGAGGATCCAACAGCCGCAGCGGTAGTGCGAGCCCAGCTGGCGCGTGAAGCGAAATGTCGCTTTCGACGACAGGATGGAGCTGGCGCTCTCCGAGCGCGCCAGCTGGCGCGTGCTGGTCGTGCTCACCGACATCTGCCACACGCAAGCACACAGCGTTAAAACACGAATCTCTTCACTGTAAAAAATGCTCAAACGACATTGGCGCATGCACAAGCTCACGTTAATACATGCTTTCTGACTGTAAAAAGTGCTTCTCCGACATCTGCTCATACATAAGCATGCAGCATTAACACAAGAACCTGTGGACCGTAAAACGTGCTCGCAGACATCTCTCGCTCACAACGAGCACACAGCATTAATTAATACATGGACCTCTGGAATGAGGAAAAAGCTCAGCAGCGCTAAGAATACAAGCACACACAGCATGGGCGCAAAACATAAGAAACATTTAATGGGCTCCCTCACATCACAAGACATAGAAACACTTACATGAATATGAATGCATGGATCTGTGCAAGTCATAAATGCTCGGCGACATCTACACGGCAAGTAAACTGATAAAAGCGCACATATGAGCACACTAAATAATACAAGGACCTCTCGAATATAATATAGTGTTCACGTGTATTTAAAATACATACAAGCACAGATTATGCTAATGTGTTCAAGGGAATGAATTTATTTTCTTAAAAAAAATATTGTACATTTTTTATAAATACCAACCTAAACTAAAAAACCAACAAAGAAATAAAATTATTACTAAAAACTAATAAACTTAAACACCAACAGAAACAATATTTAAAATTGTATTAAAACGTCTAAGACCCGACCATATGATGTACACGAAAACCGGCGAAGTAGCCATAAAATTAATAAAAATGCAACAGAAAAATCCAACACCGATGATTTCAAAGTATCTAGAATGTTAAAAGACTTACCAAAGGAAAGGAGGGAAGAAATGAAATCTAAATGGATTCTATAAGGGCTTAAAAATATTACTGCACTCAATAATGAAAATATTATTTCAATAAAAGTTATTCTCTTGATATTAACTCTTCAGAAAGAAAAATTGAAAAGAAAAACACACAAATAAAACTATATTTACTATGTAAAAGCTTGTTAAAATATTTACATTCTGTCACACGTGTGGTTCTGAGCTACTTATTAGGTAAGATTATTGGAAGAAGAGGATATAGAGTGGAGAATGTGAAGTGGAGAGGGAAGGGCGCGAAGGGAGAAGTATTCCCGGAAGAAGGGAACACAGTAGAAAGTGAGAAATGAAAAAGGTCAGCATCATAAGAATTCGGGGAGTATAGAATGGGAAACGAGGGGAAACAAAGAAAAAAGGCTTTATCTTCAAGATTATTCTAATTCCTAACATTACAGCCATACCTGGAGTAGGCAAATGGTTTTGACGTATCCGTGGCTATGATATGAAATGAATATTGAAGGAACAGTGGTAAAATGAGAGGTAGGAGAAACAGGAGAATCCTGAGAAAACCACCATGAAACCTCATAGTCCGCCACAAACTCCACATTGATCGACCGGGATTTGAACGCCGATACCGTGGGCCGCCCGGAAGAGCGGACCAAAGAGTAAGCAATGTGTGACGGACTGGCCAAAACAACTGGGTCCGTTACGTCGAGGTGACTCGCGAATGTTACGGCACAACTGCCGCCGCGGCCTCTCTTATTGCTCGCCTTCGACGCCAGTCGCCCGAGCTCAGTGCGTTTGGCACTTCCCGCTGGAGACAAGATGTATGCTACTCTTGGTTTGTTTACTGTTATGGTCTAGTTGGACTGTTGCTGTGGTCTAGTAGCCAGGCCGTTCACCTTTCCTCAAATGCCGGGGGATCAATACGAATTTGTGGTGGACAAAGTGAGCGTGGCAGTTCGCGCAGCTTTTCTCAGGATACTCCCGTTTCCCTTGCCTCTCTTTTGACAATTGTATTTCATTATCATCATCATCATCATCACTCATTCATCAAACCATTCACGTGAGATATAGCCGAACGTTTTTAGGTACTGATCTTCGTTATAAAAATAATGTAATGATCTACTTTTCGCGAATATAAAGTCTTCTTGTCTAGGCTTTGTTTATTTTTTCTTACTATACACTATAAACCCTTTTAGGAATGCGGTGTTTTTATCTCGCGGTCGTAGTGTACAGCTTTAAATACATAGAATACAGTACATACAGTACAGATTTAAATACATGGAATACAGCGTACGCATCCAATGATGTTTTACTTTATGTTGCAACTGGTTGTAGTCGACCGGTGTCACCTAAAAGCAATAGATGTATGAGATGTAGCCCTTTTAGTTTATTGAAGTGAATTATCTATCAAAGACGCTGAAGCTGTTTTTACTTAAACTCATGCCCAAATTGCAATTCTTCATCAATGTAATGAATCGATAAATGCATAAACTTATTATTTAGTATTTTCTTTAAATAATAAATATGTAATTTTGTGAATCTGAATGAAATTATAAATCACAGGAGCTAAAGATGTAGAAAATAATGTGTACTCACAAACTAATTTAACCGACATTGAAGCAAGAAATGTGCTAAGGACGGCAGAGAAGAATGTTCGGCGGTTGTAACTTTTACAATGAAGCGGCAATCTTTGCGAATAAAGTTTGAACTTCACCTTCGGAGGACGAAATATATAGTGAAGTGCTAAAAATTACATAATAAAACCTTAATAATCTTTTATCTAACAGGTAGGAAAGGCAACAATTTGTGGTAGAAATGCGTGAAACGTTTCAACCGAACATCAGCTGA